CTTCGCCCCCCCCCCCGGTTCCCGTGGCTTGGGACCTTCGAGATACCGCTAGGTTGGTGAGCGGCACTCTGCCTGGCTGGTGGTGCTGAGTTATCCAGGGGGCTTATTTGCAGGGGGGGTGTGTCTTATATTTTTGCCCACCAGAAAAATGTGGCATGCCCTTATTATCAGGACATGTCGTATTTTCGGGGAAACGCGGTATATGTGTGTGATATTTTTAAACTCGAAAGTTTAAAACATTAAATCCAAGCATTTTTTTTTCCCCTCGTCAATTTAGGACTAGCTCGTTTTACCAGCGCAGAAATAAAGCATTTTCAAATAGAAACATTTGATTTTCAATTAACACACAAAAAAATATAAAAATACCATTTGGGAAAAAAAAAGCTTGAGAGATGCAGAATTGCATTGGAGGACGAAAGTTGAAACAGGCTGTGGACTGAGAGAGAGGCTACGCGTAGGAAATCAGGAGTATAAACCGTGTGTGTTGCTCGGGGCTTCCAATCTTTTGCAGACAACCCATTTACTGAAGAGGGGTCAGCGCCCTCTGCAGCAGCTGCACCATGACGGGGTAGACGGGGGCAAATTCTTTGCCTTCTCTGCTTCTCACAGATTGAACATAAGCTTCCAGGGCCCCCCTGCTTAAAAGAGAGAATATACGGGAATTAAACACTTTGGTTTTCATTATTATAAAACTAACAATACTGTGGCTTTTAAAGGGATCGCTGCTTTATTGCTTAGGTCTTAAACGACCCACCTTATCCTCAAAACGGGTGATTCTCTCTTTCTCTCTGTCTCTGCCTGTATTTGTCTCTGTCTCTCTGTGTCTTTGTCTATCTGTTTCTCTGTCACTATCTGTTTTTCTCTGTCTCTCTGTCTCTGTTTCTCTATTTGTTTCTCTCTGTCTCTGTTTCTCTGTCTGTTTTTCTGTCTCTGTTTCTCTGTCTCTGTATCTCTATTTCTCTCTTTGTTTCTCTGTCTCTCTTTCTCTCTGTCTGTTTCCCTTTCTGTCTGTCTCTGTTTCTCTCTGTCTCTGTTTCTGTCTCTCTGTTTTTCTGTCTCTCTGTCTCTGCTTGTCTCTCTATTTGTTTCTCAGTCTCTCTCTGTTTTTTTCTCTCTCTGTCTCTGTTTCTCTGTCTCTGTTTCTCTCTCTGTCTGTTTCCCTTTCTCTCTGTCTGTCTGTTTCTCTATTTGTTTCTCTCTGTCTCTGTTTCTGTCTCTCTGT